TCTTCAACATCTGAGCTTCCTGGGCACGGCTGATGATGCGATAGGCTGGCAAGTACTGGAGGACTCCATCCTCGAGTTGTTTGACAAGAGTGTCCACAACGGAATGTGCTGGCAAGGTTTCAGGCGAAAGAATGAGGCCCGTGACACGCTTCTTCAAGGCCTCCTGGCGGGCCAAGCGCTCCGCATTGGGCATAGCACGAACCGCAGCTGTGTCAGCGGCAGGTTCCACGCGTGCCTTCATGTCAGCCACGCTTAGGTTCTGGGCTTCAAACATCAAACGTCTCACCTTAGAGGACTGATCAGGCGGGAAGTCATGTGGAAAGATGTTTCCCATCCATCGCTTCACATCGGCTTCATCCAATTGTGTCGGCGTGGTAGACACAGCAAAAGCCAAGGTTCCGAAGCTCTTAAATCCCGCATCGACAAGAGTGCGAATGGTGGACTCGCTGAGTTTGACCTTCTGGCAACGCTCCAAAAACCAGGCCTCGCTATCCACTGCAATCCCCGCCATGGCTCGACACCTAGCAAGTCGGGACGATCTCGCTCCTTGTCAGGTTGAAGCCTAAAGATCGACTTCGGTCAAGTAAGATGGGTATTGCAACACAGTCAAACGTGTCCGCAGTTTCCCCGAGCAGAAGCCCAAGCTTTTATCATGACTGTGATTCCGAAGTGCTCTGACGGTGAATGAAGCCTCGGCTCTCACAGCTGGGTGATTCTCGATAAAGGCTTCGAGTCAGCTGGAGTAGGCTCAACTTGTTCTCCCCAAAGATCTCGACTTGCGTTCGAGTGGGAGCAAAATCACCGATTGTCAGACTTCGGTGCGACGCCTGAGATTGGCCAGAAGGATGTACCGTCTGTGCTGTTCACAAGGACAGATGCACTCGTTTTCCTTCAAGATTTCGATCACTCTGCAGCCTCCAAAATGCGCCGGCATTGTTTACAGGGGTCAGGGTCCTCAAAATAGACCCCCGCTTCACGGAAAGGAATATGATTCCTCGAGAGAGGTCGGCCACACCACAAGTTGGCTTGATCCTTCAAACAATGCGTTATGCCGGACACTGTGTGCACTACAAGAGAATCTTCAGAAACATTCGGCCCAAAAGGGGCCCTCTCTAAGCCTCCTCCACCGCGGCCTGGAGCCTCAGAAGCTTCAGAGCTCTGTGAAGACGGGGGGTCCTCGAACTCGTCAAAATCGTGTCGTGGCACAGGCGCCTCGGGTTCCGGAGCAATGACGTCCTGGGCGGCACCTGGTCGCTCCGCTGCAGCCACTTGCACCACCCGATCAACGTCAGACAAGTCAGGGTCATAGTCTCCCGCGCGGATGGCTTCGAACATCGCCATGACTCGCCCGTACAAAAGGGTGTACTGCTGCCGGGCGTAGGTCGCCGGTGATTTCTCCTTTGGAGCAATGTGGTGTCCAAGAAGGCGCTTTTCCGCTCCACTGAATTTTGGGCGAGGGCAGCGGCCCGCCCAAGATGTCAAAGTGGCCTTCAACGAATGCGTCGCCCTCTGCATGGCTTGGTCTTGATCGATTCCCTTCAAAATCAGAAAGTCCTGCAGGTAGCTGGTCGCCTCGACGCTTCCCATCTGAACAGTGCTCCAGCGGTTTTGGCTCTCGAGGCGTGACGGCAGCGCAAAGTTCTCAAGAGAGAGGCCTTCATGTTCACGAGCCTCCAGCCAAGCTTTCGCCCAATTGTTGCCAGACAACCCACAGCCGAGGGCTGCGTAGGGAAGCAGCCGGGTTTTTGCCTCCTTAGAGACAGTCGTCTTGGATGTCAAGCCTGATGCAACAACTAAGATCACGCCGTCGGACTCCTGAATTGAAATCTCCTTGAGGTTCTGAGAATCGCTCCATCTGTCAGCCGAATGCGCACAAAACAGCAGCTGTCCACAAATGCACGCAAGTACTGGTCCAGTTTCCACACAGAATGCTTCCAATGCCATCAACATGGGAACCGTCAGTTCAGGTTTCTGTTGCAGAGGACGCTTCATCAAATATAGGTCCCGGCTTATGCCAAGCACCCGGCTGGAGAGGACTGTTTCAGGCTCCATGTGCAGCAACTTGGCGACCCCGTGCACAAAGCGAAGGCCTTCCACAAAATGCGTCACGCTGGTCGGTCTGGCTCCTGAGTCACGCAAGAAATTTGCATACATGTATATGGTCGGCTCATCGACTGCAAGAGGGCTGTCTATGCTCTCTGTTGTGCACCAGGAAAAATACCTCAGGAGGGACCCACCTCGCTTTGAGATTGTCCTGGAAGCTTTAGTTCTGAAGGCATCCGAAAAAGACTTCTTGATGGCCTCCTCGTTTACATCTGCACCGAGCAACGACAGCAAAGACCTTCCCAAGCTACTCACCTCTGGGTCCCACAAGATGACCAGCCTCATCTTCTTAAGAGCAGCCGTTCGGATGTCTTCCTCCGACCGCTCCACTGTGATGCGTTTCAGGAACTTAACCGTCGTGGGTGGCACACACCTTCGTTTTGCTTCGTCATCGGATTCCTCTGGATCAAGAAAATCAATTGCACCAATAACTTGCAAAGGACTCGTTCCTCTCTCCCAGGAAAAACGCAAAGACGAAGATGTTTCCCATGAAAATCTCGGCCTGCTCTCAAAACGCTGTTGTGAAGTAGCCTCTACAGCTGCACGCTGGAAATCACCCAAGATTCGGTCATCTGGAAGAGGGACCAGAAGCGAAGCGTCATCGGATTCTTGAAAAGAATGGCTTGCCACACGCAAGGTGGCACTCAAGAAATCGTCTGTCTCCAAGTCACGACAGGCGTCATACCAAGCAGCTTCAGAAATTGAAGTAGGTGCACACGACGAAGGCGGTATGCGTGGGCCGAATGCAGGCTCTCTGCCCTGAACCCAGCCTGGGTCGACCCAACCCTCGTCGTCCCCTGGAACCCCGGGCAAACCCTGAAAAGGCCTAGTGCAGTTGACCCAGTTGCGACTCTCCAAAGCCTCAGTATCTTCAAGGGCTCCCGACTCACCCCCTTGGAAAGAGCCCTGAAGAGAACGAACGAAAGACTGGGCTTGCTCATCAGCGGCACGCAAGTCACACTCGGTCCGGTCGACCACACCTGCGGGGCTGAACAAGAGCCAAGGGTCGAGATTGTCGGGTTCGGAGGAAGGATTCGACATGTTGCAAGCGGCACCTTAGTCGGACAGCTGAAGAAGAAGGCGAACACACGTATGCGGGCGGGGGCCGGTGCAGGCAAGAGCAAGCCAATGAGGAGGGTCGAGAAACAAAAGGATCCTGGATCCTTCTCTGGTACTGACCAACACGCCACAGAAAGAGCTCTCGAGGACATACGAAAAGAGACTGGGAGGAGCGTCTAGCTGACGCTGAAGTGAAGCGGTATGAAAGGACCGAGGCCGGATGCAAACCGCCTGGAAAACGGGGGCTGGCGGCACAACAGGCCAGTCCCAACTGAGAGAGCTGCTCGCAGAGCTCGACTCGCTGTCCATCCGCCGAGAGCGCACAGGCTCTCGGCTTGCACGACCCCTAAGGGGAGACCAATAGCACCTCGAACCTCTAGCACGGCACCCTTACAGGATTAGCGGAGGCTCAAAAGGACAAAAATTTTCTCTCAGCCCGAGCTCGAGCAGCTGTGAACATGAACGGGCCAACTGTGGATTCAAGCATGCAGCAAGTCACATGGCTAAAAATAACGTTCATGATGCTGAGGAAAATTCGTTTAAAACTCGAAACACTTTCCGCAACTCAAAAAGGTCGCAAAAAGGATTATTAAAAACCCCGTGCTCGAAGGAAGAGCACTACAACTTTAGTTTGAGAGAGAAATGTCAGGCGAGCTGAAATTTTCCATAATGGAGGCGGAGTTTGTTGCGGTGCTGCTTGCGTTCCGCCTTTGGGGCAAAAGGGTTGCGCATTCACCTGTTGTGGCTTTCATCGACAACAATGCGGTTAGGGATATTTTGATTTCCTGTCGGGGTAGGTCCCCAATAGTGAAAAATCTGCTTACAATGTTTGTGGGCTTGGAGGTGGGGTGCGAGTTCATCCCTTGGTTCTCGCGAGTCCCTTCCCCGTCGAACTGCGCAGATCACCCGTCAAGACTGGTGACCCAGCACTTGCTGTGGGGTGGCATCAGTGTCCCGTGTTCCGACGTGTCAGAGCACCTGGATGCCATCTGCCTTGATCTGTCGGCTAAGAAGGGGGCTTGAGGTTTGTTAGGGTATGGTGAGACACATGTGCAATGTATGTGCACCGTGTTGTGTGCACCGGCACATGCTAGGATGCGATCAATTGGTTCGCCCACTGATGAAAATGTGAGGGACATGCAGCTCCTGCTATGTGCTCTGTGATTCTTCAGGTTGTGGCTTTTGGGCTTTTGGGTTCAAACCCAGTATGGAACAAGCGGTAAGCTTACTGTTCGCGAGCGAATGGTGTTTTACCGTTTGCTTCCAAAATGTCTCTTCGAAAAACGGTGTGTGCCGTTTGTTCTTGGTTTGTAACCCAAAAGTTTCTGATGCTTGTCATGCTTGGTATTGCGAACGACAATTTGCAAACTTCGTTTGCTGGAGATCTGTGTGTGCAGCGCTGGCTCCACAGCTCAGTGCGAAAATTTTTGACCCACCCAGCCCACCCAGGGCATCACAAAGACAGGGCCCGCTGACGCGGCTGCAACTCCCTGTGCGCCATCGGCAGTCATATTAGTGTTGCATGTACAGTTCCTTCGCCCTCAAAGGGGGCTTGAGGTTTGTTAGGGTATGGTGAGACACATGTGCAATGTATGTGCACCGTGTTGTGTGCACCGGCACATGCTAGGATGCGATCAATTGGTTCGCCCACTGATGAAAATGTGAGGGACATGCAGCTCCTGCTATGTGCTCTGTGATTCTTCAGGTTGTGGCTTTTGGGCTTTTGGGTTCAAACCCAGTATGGAACAAGCGGTAAACATCCTCGACCACCAGCTGGAACAAGCCCGAAGCGTCCTCAGTTAGTAGTTAGTGCAGCTTATCTTTCATGGGGCAAGATCATGCGAAGCCACGCCTGGGCACGTTGGAAGCTTCTGTTAAAGGCAAGACGTGTCAGCAAGCGCTCACTTGCTACAGCTGCAGTACCGCTGGAGCCTGAGACTGAATATGCAGCATCAGCAAACAGGGAACGCCACCTCAGCAGCCACAGACGTGTACACTCCAGGTCATGTGTGCCCAGCTTGCTCCGTATACTCGTTCTCACTGGATTCTACCCATACCTTGCACTTGGAGTGTCCTCACAAACCTTTAATCCTGCCCGAACAGCAATACCGGAACCGATGCACAGCCCGGCTGCTAAGCGCTCCTACAAAAGGGCTGTGAAGCGAGCCAGTCGTTTTGGAGTCACCACTTATCTTGGTCGCACCTTCACTGCCAAACAGCTAAGTGTCCGCTACCAGCCAGACAACGCGGGCAGCAAGTCTTCCTCCCCACAGGTAGAGACCACAGCACATGGCCTGCGCATTCTGTACTGGAATGCTGGTGGGCTACATGCCTCCAGACATGCAGAGCTCAAGCACTGGCTGCACATCCAGGACGAACACACTCGGCCAGACTTAGTGGTCATCACTGAAACGCACTGGCCCACCACAATGGAATACCCAGCCACTGACTGGCAAGCCGTCCATACTGGTGTGGGCCAATCACAAGGGGGGATCCTTGTGTTCGTACACAACTCAGTATGTCCGGCACACGACATCCGATACAACGAGCTAAGGCCAGGTCGATTACTACATGTTCGAATCTCGCTGCAGAAGCGTCCTGCCCTTGATGTCCTGGCCGTATATCAGCACGCTTGGAACCCCGATGGTGGAGACGGTGACAGGCAAGCACGCATTAGCAAACCGGTCGGACATCTGGGATCGTATCTCTAAATGGGCTCGCTCGGTTCCTGCTCGAAACCTTCTTCTCATCGTAGGGGACATGAACTGTCCTTTGCTGAAAGAGACCACTCATGTTGGCAAAGGAACCCCTATACTGCCCGCGGGTCATCACTACAAAGATCAGTTTCGATTACAGGACCTTCTAAGGGATCATGGTCTGTGCGCGTTAAATACATGGGGAAAAGCAGGGTCTCCCTCCGTCACCTTTAAGCCACTTAAGGGCATGGGCACTCAAATTGACTTCTACCTGATGAGATGCCGCCAGACAACGCCTCAAGCCCTATGTGCGAGCACCTTGATGAATTTCCCACTCTTGCCTGAAACGGGGATGTACCATCTCCCAGTCAAGGCGCAGCTGCCGTTACCAGTGGCACCTCGCAAAGCCGGCGAGAAACAGGGCAACTCACTTAAAGCCACACAGGAGCTCATGAACAAATACCCTAAACTCCTCCCCACCTACCAAGCGCACCTACCGGATCATGTCTTACTACATCAGGAGCTGACCAAAATCATGGCGGATGCATGGGCAAATGCGCTTGATCAGTGCTGCGTGACCCTCAATCCCTCAGAAGCTCCCGCAACGACTCTTGACTCGCCTGAGGTAGTTCATCTTTGGCAACACCGACAAGAGTTGCGGGCACTACAGCAGGCCCTTGCCACCAACCATGACACCTTTGTTGGCACTCTCGACCCTCAGGTTCGTAAGCATACTAGAGCCAGACTAGCAGCGTCCATGAAGGAGCTTCGCAAGATTAGCAGACTCAGAAAGAAGCAACACCTTGATGCGCTCATTATGGAGGCCAGGAACAGCAGCAGTCCCATGACAGCCGTTCACCAAATCCTGAAGCGCTATGCACCAAAGGTCAGGCAGAAAAGGCTCCAGCTCCGCACCAGTCAAGGACACATCCTCACGCCGCAAGAAGAAATGCAGCAGATTGTGGGACATTTTAAGCAGGTCTACAAACAGCCAGACCATGCACCATCGGGCAGGCCTGTTGATCAGGCCGTTGTCTTTGATCCACACAGTGTGCTCCTAGCGTTCAGCAAGTTGCCTAACAAGGCTCTTCCTTCACACTTCCTGCCTGCCCCGTTCTGGCGAGCCTCAGCTCACCTTGCGACGCAGGTGTTCCAGCAGACCCTTGTGGCAGCCTATGACCGGGAAGAACTTTTGCTGCCCAAGGCCTGGCACGAAATACAAGTGGCACTCATCCCTAAACCGTCTAAGCCGGCGACCTCCGCCGACTCGCTAAGACCAATTTCACTGCTTTCGCCGATGGCCAAAGTCCTAGCAAAGCTAGTAGCGGAGGAAATTCGGCCCATAGTCTCGAATGCCGCAACGCACATCCCACAATTTGCATACCTTGAAGGACGACAAACCTGCGACGCTATCGACAGGGCTTTTGGCCATTGCAGAGAAATCCGAGAACGTCGCCAAAATGCCACGGTCACCACCCGTGATAGGAGGGCGGGCAAAACTGCCCAAATCGTCTCGGGAGGCGTCACGCTCTCACTTGATCTACGCAAAGCCTCCGACAGCATCCCCTGGCAGTGTCTGCAGACATGCCTTGAGCACTTCCGGATACCTGCCTCGATCATTCAACTTATTTTGTACCTACATGAGAACGCTACGTACATTTTTAAAACTCCCAGGGCGCAGGGCTCTGTGCTGGCGGGGCAAGGCATCAGGCAAGGATGCGGATTAGCGCCGATGCTCTGGACGCTCTATTCCCTCTATCTTGCATCCAAACTTGACACTGCTGCGCCCTCAGCACTCAAAACTTTCTTTGCGGACGATTTCCGAGCGCAATGGACGATCGAGACCTGGTCGGACATGAAAAGTGTCCCCACGCAAATTTCCAAAATCGTTGCAGTCTTGGAAGATCATGGTATGCAACTTAGTCCGGGCAAAACAGTGGTCCTCTACTCGCTCTGGGGTACGCAGGTGCATGCATGCCTCAAGCCCATGCTGTATCAACATGCCACTCTCGGCAAATGCCTGCGAATTGGGGCTGCCAACCTCACGGGAAAGTGCTACCTGCTGCCGGTTGTCATGTCCCATGAGTACCTTGGCGTCAAACTTTCGTACAAAAACTTTGAGTGGCAAACCCTTAAGCACCGGCTACGCCATTCCTGGATTGCCTATAATCGGTTATCTGCCTTGCCAAAGTCTAAAGCCCTGCCAGTGCATAAGCGATTGCAGCTGCATCAATGCATATGTCTCGCCACCCTTCGATATGGGCTCTCCTGTACAGGACTGACTGTGGCTGGTAGGCAGAAAGTCTATGGCACTGTCCGACAATGGCGAGCTTTGGCTAATAACCTTCCTCACATCACTGGGCTGTCTAATGCGAATTTCTTGACAAACTTTCACCTGGCTGACCCCCTGGAAGGCTTGGACACTACTTTGATCAAAAGGCTAGATAAGGTAGAATCAGGGCCTGTTGCACAACTACAGCCAACCGTCGTAAAAAGATGGTGGGAGCACCTCCGTAAAATCACCAATGATCCGACTGTTACGCAGGCGGCAAGCAAAGTGCCCCTCAGACATCAGGATGCCAGACCCCCAGCTCCATGTGATGTATGCGGCCTTTCCTTCCCCAACGAGGCCACGTTACGTTGGCACATCTCCAACGTGCATGTCAAGCTGACTAAAGAGCAACATCATGCGAAGGAGGCAGCCTTTCGAGAACGAAAGGCCTCGCACATGCAACATGCACACGATGGTATGCCTACGTGTCGACACTGCAGACATGAGTTCTCATCCTGGCCGCAGTTTGCGGCGCATCACAATAGGCAGTGTTGCCCAGTACTTCACTTAGGATGTGCCCCGACCCTACCTCCATATCCGCCAGACCCTGAACCCCTGCTGCAGGACGAAGCTTTTCTGCAAGAGGCTCAGTCGGACGATTGGAAGCAGCTTGCACAGAAAATCCGCGCCATTGGGCGATTGCACTACTGCCCCTTCTGCAACCTTTGGATGGCCAAAACTGCCATGTTGCATCAACATATCAAAGCTCAACATGTGGATGCAACCGCTCACCTTGACCAGTGTCAGCATTTCCTGCTTACGCGAAAGGGTGTCAACTCCCCCTGCCAGCACTGTGGCACTCGGCACAACCGCGCGGCTGTGGGGTGCTCAGTACTGGTTCGAGTAGCCTTCATCCTGCGACATCAAAATCGCTTGGGGATCCTTCTTCATGCCTCGGAATCGGCCACAGGTAATGATGGACGAGCTGACAAGAGGCGCCGCCGAAATGGATCTGTGGAAGTCCATGATGAACAAGCCTGGGGAGGTGGGACAAAAGTGGCAAGGAGACCGAGCGGAGGACCTCAGTCGCCAGAAAGGTCGGCAGCGCGGAGATCGGGGGAAAGGCAACCAGAGCTTCGCGAAGCAGGCCAAACAGGCCTCCGGACCTTCTTCGCTGGACAACGACGAGGACGATCCCCTGAGAGAGGCCGTGAAGCTCATCACGACCCTGTCCCTTCGCCACGAGGATGCACTGGCCATCCACCGTCAGGACACCAGCTACGTGTTCTTCATGAAGACCAGTCCGCCGGAGCTGACAGTGCTCAGCGATCTCATGCGAGTCGGATCGGAATGGAAGGCCAAGAAGGAGCAGTCACCAGCTCTGGTAACCCAGCCCTTACGTGTGGTCCTCCTGGGCTGTCTCCTGGAGGCGGTGACTACCAGGATGCAATCCCTGCAGGATCCAACGCTACATGCCAAAGCACAAACGGCCAAACTGTTAAATCCAGCGGGCGACTTTCACTACATGATGTGGGACGACGCGGAGAAGATATACCAGAACAAGGACGATCGCGAATCGATCCCCACGAAAGCGGTACTCGAGGACATCGCGACCTTGCAGAGGCTGATCCTCCAGCCACGAGTGGTAGGACGCTTTCATGCCCAACGGAAGCTTGCGCCGGACATGCAGGGGGAAGTGGTGCCATTCGTCCTGGAGATTGGCCTACGCAACCAGGCCTCACACGCAGTCTACTTTCTGCTGGACAAGTACTGCCACCAAGCGATCTGGCACCTGGCAGGCACGTCCCTGAGGCACGACAAACTGGGACGAGGAGCGTTGGCCAATGCGCTGGAGAAGCTTGCAGAGAAGCTTTGAGGCGACTCCGACTTCAAAACTCCAGTAACCATTGCTATGCTAACAGTCTAATCCTCACACTCTTGCATGCACAAAGCTTCAGGCGCATGACGTTCTTTCGTGATGATCTTCAAAGGCTGATGTCCTGGCTCGTCACTCAGAAAACGGCTAAGCTGTGGCAGCTCATGCCCTGGACCCAGGCGCTAAGAACATGGGCACAGCCAAATATGCAGCATGACGTGGCAGAATTTGCCAAGCACTTGTTGGCAAATGAGCTACTCACAGCCCCCATGAATGGAGAATGGCAAACCAGATTGCATGTGGACGGCGCTATTCAGGTCACAGATCGAGGTACCACTTGGCCTATCCTGCTGCCTGAGCCCCTGCTGACCCAACAAGAATGTGCGTTGCAGAGCTTAATTGATGCATGGGAGTCCCAGGCTGCTCCGCACGCGCTTGCTACTGATCCCAGTGAGCTCTTGCTGCAACTCAACAGGTTTCGAGAGGTTGGTGGAGTCTACGCCAAATCTACTACTCCAGTTGTGCCAACTGATACCCTCTCCATTCCTGTGTTTCATGATGATGGTTTGCAGAGGGGAACCCTACGATATCGACTAAGAGCAGCAATCATTCACATCGTGATACCCCTCAATCTGGACACTACAGGGCTGTCACCTTCCATGTGGGGGCCACTGCCTACTTGCATGACGATAACAAAGTTGCCCAGAAGCTCACTACCAAACTTCTAAAAACCCTGCACACCCAAGTCTATCTCTGCCTATACTCCAAGATCGACAATCCTAACTCAAGTGCTGACCTCGCCGTAAACATATCATCTGATTCACCGCCACCAACTTCATCAGCAGGGTAAGCGGTTACCGCCCCTGATGGCTGCGTGGGTACGCGGACTCCGCCCCCTAAGTAGCGTTTCACAATCAACGCCAGGTTAAGCGCGGGTAAGAAAGACACGGGGGAACGAACCATTTCGAGGGTTCTCCAAGGGTTCATGGTTTTTCAGGTTTTTTTGGGGTTTAACGATGTTTTCCTGACAGTTCTTGTTTTGGTATGTTTTGGTAAGAATCATGCCTTTGGCCGAATTTTTCACTCTACGGGACCCCTAAAAAAGATCGTTTCGTGCGACTTGCTGTGTGCCGAGTTCTGCGAAACCTACTCAAAACCGAAACGGAGAAAAAACTTATGGTTTGGCCTGGACCTCGGGCTCCTCGGCCCGCCCTAAACTCCAAAATGCAGCCGTCGCAACGTCGGTTCAAGGAATGAGTCGTTTTGGGTGAAAACTTGAGAAACATGGAGCCGGAGTACGTTTCATGTGAGCCTGGCAGCTCTGCGAAGCGGAGCAAGCCATTGGGCCGCGACGCACGTCGCTTCAATATTGGTGATCTCATCTTGCTTTTTTCGTTAGAGGGTTCAGGACTGGCGGTTTGGAACAGTGGCAGAGCAAAGAACGCGAAGTTTCTGGGCGCTCTGATTTGTGACTCGGCAAAGCAGCTTGGGAAAGAGTTGCTACTGCGAGACTTCAAAAACTGCTGTGCACACTGGCAGAAGTTTGCAAAGGCAGACGTCAGAAGGAAAGAGACGGCTCTCAGCCAAAATGCAGAGCAATGTGATTTTGGCATACTTTCAGTAGGGCCATTATTTGTAGCCTCAGGGCATCACGTTTTCGGCAAGGCAAGCTTTCGAGGGGCGCAATTGCAGAAGGTGACTCGACTGAACTCGTTGTCGCTTTTGAACTTGGTGCCTGGGTCATGGTATGCCAGAGGCGCAAATGTCCCTTCCCCAGCCACATTTCAAGAGTTTGTGCAGAGGATTAAGTTCTCAAATTGCAAAGCTGTGATGTTGCCAGAGGGAGTTGCCACAGCAGCATTTGCTGCGAGGGCTCCACATGGCAGGTGCTGCATCCTTCCTGTTTCCATGTGTGATTCTCTTGGTCTTGCACTTGAAACGGCTTACGAAGCAAACGAAGCACTACCAGCGTGTCCTGCGGAAGCATCAGATGCTGTTCCCGGGCGGCCCGGTGCTTCACTTCTGGTGCGTCCCAGGCACGACGCAGCCTTGCATGTGTTTTATGCATGCTTAGGCCACTACGTGCAAAATTTGGAGGACATCGAAGAGATCATCGGCATGGTGGGCTCCACGTTTCTGCCTGCTTTGGGGCTGGAGCCTGTTGTGAATATAGCAGTGCCAGAGCGCAAGACATTGTCTCTTAGCATGGTGAAGTTGGACTTGCTGCACACGCTTTCATGTCGTGTTTTCAACCGAGCCGGCGAACCGCAGAAGCGGAGGGCCCGGTACCTGGGAAGCGACTCCTCCCCGCAAGGTGGGTTTGATTATTTTGCTATCGTAGAAGATGTGCTGGAGCGACCAGCCTCCCTGGAACACTGCCAGAAGTCAGAAGAGGATTTCGATGCTTTCGGGGGTTTCTTCTGGAAACGTCGCACACTTCCTCTAACGACGCTGGCTCGTGGACAGGGCTCTGCGAGCATGAAATTCAGTCGACTGCTACATGTCTTGCACCAAGAGCAGGGAGCAGGAAACATAGATAATTACCGGAGCGAAGTCAAAGGGTATCTCAGTGACCAAGGCACAGAAAGGCACCTCTTTGATTTTCCATATGAGAAGTCTGCAACTTTGAACAATCTATCCAGGGGTCTACTGTCTGGTGAGGTTTCGCTGGAGGACGTCGGTCATGTGCCATTTCTTTCCAACGCATTCGGCATTCCAGGAGTCATGCATATACTGTTTAGTGCTCTTGAATCGTCCCTCAAAACTTCGGACATGTGGGCCGCGTACGAGGTGGAGCTTCGGGCGGTGGACAAGATATTCTCTCAGAAGTCCTACGTGGATTTGGTTTTGCACTTCACGCAGAACTTGTCAGCAACAGAGAAGCAGCTCATTCGGAGTCTGGACGTTGCCGTGCTTGATTGGCGTTGGGAGTCCATCGAATACTGCGCCAAATACTGGAAGGAGGTTGGGCCCATCCTGAAAGACAAATGGCACGAAGGATCTTTGGGAGATTCCGAAAAAAAACTAGCAGCAACCATTCAGGCAGCACTTGCGAGCGACACGAACCGTGCCATGACTTTGTGGACCTGTGTCATGAGTGGTGCTGTTGGTGCATGCTCTAGGTGGCTCGAGGGATGCTTCTGTCACGAGAAAGAGGCTTCGTTCAGGCAATCCCGTGCCCGCGTAGCCAAGAGGCTCCTGGAGCGTGACACGGACTTGTCCAGGCCAGGCACCCTCTGTCCTTGGAAGGGCAAGCGTCTGTGTGTGCTGGCTTGGGACGGGCCTCAACAGTTTCTGGACATACTGGCTAGAGCAGACACGGAAGATATGAACCAGGCATTTCTTCATTTTGACCGAGCACTTGTCAACAGCATTCTTCGTACAGATGGCCTTGTCCGGCAGAACTTGCAAGCTGTCCTGCGGGACAAGTTTTCTTGGTGCCAGAAGCTGCCCTTTAAAGTGGCAGGCGTCTTTCGACTGTATGTGGACAAAACGTTGCCTCAGGCGATAGAGTTTGCCGCATCTTGCTTCCGGGACTATGCTGAGGCTGTGTCGTCTGGCGCCACCATGGATCCCATCAGTGTGTTTCTTCTTGGGAAGCAAAGTGCTGAGAGCCAGCAGCTGTCGCAGTTTGCTCGACAAGACATCACAGCGTCAGACTTGAGATCTCTTCGTGAATTTCCCTTGGCATTCACGGAAGTTCAAGAAAGAGCCTGGTGTCCAATGGCAGAACGTTTTCTGGAGTCGCAGCATCGGGGTATCAAGTGGGCTTTTCGCCGTGGTTTCACGAAGGCAAGCCCACCAGTGACGTGCGCGCGGCAGAGGCGGAGCCAGGTGCTACCTATGGTGACTGACAGCGGCGCCCAGAAAGCGTATGTCATGAAGAATTGGAGTCGCAAGGGTCTCTGGGTGGACTTGTTGGGCCATGTCATGTCGCCCGCAGAGATTGCCTTGCTCACTGTTCCACAAAAGCTTGCACGTTGTTACTGCTATGCGGAGGCAGATCATTTCCAAGACACTGCCGAGCAGGAGGTCTCCGTGGCTGCGTTCCGTGCGGCATTGCGAGATGTGCAGAAAACAGACGAGGAGCCGAAGCCAGGGCACAAGCAGTGGATCAGCTTTCTCAAGCAGCAACTCAGCAACGGCACACTGTGTTCCTTCCCTGAGGCAATCTTCTCGAAGCTGGCCGACGAGGACGCGGCCATGCGCGAAGAGGAAGACTTGGATGAGGACGACGACCTGAACGACCAGGTTCTCCAGGAAGCTTTTGGTGGAGATGAGGTGGTCCTTGCTGACCTGGCATCAGGAAATGTGGTTTACTGCCAGGTTGTTGATGCTCGGCCCGAGAATCGCACAGCAGTTTCGCAGGGTGCAGCAGCAGGTCCCAGGAGCAGAAGCACGATGCTGGTGCAGCAGTTCGCGGATGTTCGACTGCTGAAAAACGAGGCGGGTCATGTGGACGCCGTTGAGGTCTGCGGTGTCGGTTCGACAGTGACGTTGTTGGATTTGCGACGTTCCTGCACGGCCGACACAATCATTGAGATGTGTCAGCAGGTCTCTGTTTGGACGGCCGAGGCTGCAGGACTTACGATGGAGTTGCAGCAGGCCCTTCCCGGACCGGACACGGACATGATCCCGAGCAGGCCACCTGACTTCCTAGAAACTCTGGTAGACGACGACACGATGTTGGATGCCTTGAGACAGGATGTAATGAATGATGCCTTGTTCCTGCAGGCGAATGCCTTGGCTGAACTCCCCCAGGATGAGCTGCGTGTGTCCAGCCTTGCAACGTTGAACCTGAGCAAAGAGGAGCTGCTGGCAGCAGATGCCTTGGTTCGGGTTGGAGCCATGGGCGCCTCGGAGACGCCGCTGCTGTCGCTTGCGACAGAGCAGAATGTTGCCATGTCCTCTCTGTTGCGTCTTGCGGAGAGGCGGCTGGTCAGGACCAGAACCGATTGCTTTGGGGAGCTTCATGTTGCTCTCGTGGCTCCGTTCTTGTT